ATCACTTTTCATGCCCTCGCTCGAAGTAGGATTCGACATTGGACGGGATCTGAACACTAGCTCAACAATGAACTGTACGGAGTGAGCCTCAAATTCAAATGGCACGCGCGAAAGACCCTTCCAAAAACTCGTCCAGCGTTTTTTCCCGTGTAAGTGTAGCGGCGAGTGCTGCTTTCACAACGTGCGCTCGCTTACTACTGTACCATTGCATGTTGCGGTGTAACTGCAGCGCACGTTCTTCATTAATCGTCTGAGTCTGTTTGAATCTCTGACAAAACTGCTTTCGGTACTCCGGCTTGCTCATGTACGGATCCATACTTTCGTGAATTTTAAGAGTCAGTTTACTCAATTGATCTCGTAGGTTTTGTTGGTCTTGGGAAACGTGGTCATTGTTTGTTTCTTACGCTCATTTTAAACACAATTTGCTCTCATTCTCTAGGAATGGCACTGGCGTCGGGTGGGGCATCTATGGGAGGACGTTCGGTGAAAACGAAAACTATGTGGATATCCCCTCTTCTAGTATCCTCCTCAGGTTTAGTTCTAGAAGGCTACGACAAGGAGTGTCGGCTGAATGTGTTTTCTACATAGTGGTGCACACTAGCACACGGGATTAACGCGCCCCGGGATTTCCTACCTTATAAAAATTAGGATTTTTGTAGGCAGCAGCAAATGTTGCACCACTTGCCTCTCTTTTGCCGAATGAGACCTTTTTTCACATTCCTTGCATTTACGCTGAATTAAGATTATAGGTGACTCTGTGACTAATGTTAAATAGCAAGCTGTCGTAGTTTGCACGACCGTCTTCAGGTTCGTTCTGCTGCTCGAGTGTGGAATTATACATACCGACCGTACTATTTTGCGATTGTGTGATCGATGCATATCATTTTCGAAAAAATTGCAAAATCGCTAAACCTCAGCATCATAAGATCGCAGACCATTGAATGCAGTCTAAGGCTGGTGTCAGAGTCCGCGATCCGTCGCAGGTTTCGCTGATTTCGCGATTTTCGCGATTTGCGCGATTCACGCGACGGGTCACGGAAATCACAAGTGCCCGATCAATACTGCAAGGTGTTCTCCAATGGCCGATGTCAGACTTTGCGATTGGAGCGATTTTGCACCAATTGCAGGAGCGACGGATCGCTCCAAAGTGCGAGCGACGGGAGATTTACCCGAGCGGCGCCGTGTGTATCGGTCGTCGGCGGGGTAAATCTCCCGTCGCTCGCACTTTGGAGCGATCCGTCGCTCCTGCAATTGGTGCAAAATCGCTCCAATCGCAAAGTCTGACATCGGCCAATCCTGCCGCCACTTCTGCTCTATAGTGATGGCTGAATGACGACTGCTCATGATTCCTTGTTTCATATTCAGTGTTTCAAATGTTCACACACTTGCAATTTTTGCGATCCGTCGTAGGTTTCGAGAAAATCGCGAAAATCAGCGAAACCTGCGACGGATCGCGGACTCTGACAACAGTCTAAGATGATCAGTTGGGATGGATATCAATCAGTGTGAACTTATCGCAATCGTAAAATTGTTTAATTACAGGCTTGGTGGTCATTTCTACTTTTTTCGTCGAGGTTCCTCTTGTTATTGTTATCTCTTTCCTTCAAAGCTATAGTTTATATCCGCATATAAATTAGTAGTACATTTTACATTCTGAAATGTCATTAACCTTCAACATTTCAGCACTTTACATGAGCTATGCCATTTTGAGCTAATTCTATCTTTTATTTCAATGGCACACGTCGACAAGAAACCATTTCCAGAAGATTCAAAAGTTTCCATATTCACTTCAGGTAAGAAATGTGTTTAGTTGTTGATTCAACTTTGAATAAACATCCCGAGGGGGTGAGGATACATTGCATGGTATTTAAGCGCATTTGGTCATTTTTTTGTTTTGTTATGGTAAGTAAAGTGTGGTAAGACAAGCTATGGTAAGTATACCATGAAAAGCTGAGTTGGAATGAAATGGTGCATGTAACTGGTAGCGCACTTGCCCGGAAAGCGAGAGGTGCGGGTTCTAGTCCCGCCTGGGGCGAAGTTTTGTTCACAACCCAGCATTCTTGTGAAACATTCGCAAGGCGAACTGCGGTCAAAACAGCAATTTTCAACTAAAAAAAAACTTATTTTTCGTTGTTGTTCATGTTTAGAAGGTATAGTAATGAATATTCTTTTATTATTGCTTATCTGCATTTGAAAAGTCATAGCAATTTTCACAACCAGTATTCTAAATCATATCACTTTTATAGGTAGATACAGAACTGGAGTTGATCACTCGGCCTGGAATCATGCATATGTTCTTTCAGTCATTCGTCATTTGGGATTACGACCGAACATTTTCACTGAAGCTGGTACATTTCAATTCGCTTTTTGAGTTCTGATTATTCTTTTGAAGGTCCGCGCATACTTTGCGGTTGAATGTGCGATCGCACGGTCCACACATACAGTAGCGGTCAAAAGTTTGGAAACTTTTTTATTTTTGATCTAGCGCGGCCGACACATAACGAAATTGTCCTCAAATTTAGATATTACATACAAAATCAAGTCCAGAATACGACGGGAAGAATAATTTCCAAAAATCTATAATCATATTTGAGAAATAAGATTTTTTTCAAGTAATGGCGCGTCAAAAGTTTGGAAACTTTTTGTTTCCCTTATCATTATGATTCCTACTCTTCAATGTTTCACTTGTTTCTGTTAATTTTAGTTCAACCATTGAGTAATGTGTAATTTCAAAATGAATTCATATGCAAAAAAGCCATGGGAGGTCCTTTTTTAAACCCTACAATCCGGAATACGAAATTGAAATTGTTTCTTAGTAGTTCAGTCTCTACGGAAGCAATATTATCGAATGTTTCTAGCGTTATTGGAGTCGAGTAAGCATAAGAAGAATGATCATTCACAAAAAAGTATCCTCACAAGAAAATTGGCCCTCCTCAAATACTTCGAAGGTGGTTGGCACGTCCCGTACCCCCGACATTCCCAACTAAGAGACGACTTTTTCTGGTTTTCCCTAATCATATGAAAGTCCAAGTGCAGCCAACATCGGCCGCGACCTGGTGAATATTACGGATGATATCCCAACAAGAAGCCATTGTTGGGCTTCAAGAGCAGGATGGCCCAACTGGCTTCCGCACACTAACGGCTAACATGGACCGAAGGCGAGAGGTGAAACTTTGTCCTCAGCGACGAAGCAGGATTTCTATCTTCCTAGAAATGATGTTGTGGACCCTGTGAAGTGTTCAGTCAAATGGAAACCTCATTTGAGTATAAGATTCCAACAGTCAGAAATAGTGGAAGTATTGTCATGGATGAAGATGTGTCCGACCATTCGGCGATTCCCCAGTTCTAGGTATCCAGCGAAATGTGGGTTGGGCTAAGTACAAGTATAGTCTGTAGAATACAATGCTTCCCTTCGATAGTCAGAACTAGCCGGAAAAGATGGGTTTTCTATCGTGGAAATGACCCAATGCAGGCCTACCTCCTCACTGCCGCCTTCCTAAACCCAGAAAAAAGAAGCTGTTATGAAGCGACCAAGTCAAGATCTAAAGTCTAATTGAGTTCTACATCCCACGGAAGAACTGGCATGTCGCTCAACCCACATTCCAGTTAAGAATCCCACCAAACAATGTGATTTAGTTCACAGTGTGCAGGGTTCGACTTAAAAGTCCTAAAATTATTTTATAATCAACTCCATGTCAATAAAAACGACGCTGACATAGAAATTCACAGCTACTCATCGAATAACTAATTTATCATGTGGATTCGAGAGCTATTTTGCCGAATTCGCTTTGGAATTGAGAAGTTTCCAAACTTTTGACGCGCCATTTCTTATAAAAATTCGTATTTTTCAAATGCGATTTCAGTTTTCAAAAAATATGTTGCCCATCGTAATCTACACTTGATTCTGTATATAATATGTGAATTCGGGGCAATTTCATTGTCTATTGGCTACGCTAGATCAAAAATAAAAAAGTTTCCAAACTTTTGACCGCTACTGTATGTACTCCGCGCCCATACCGCAAACTGTGACCAGACCCTAACTAGGACCGTAAAAGTAATTGTTCATCCTTAGTTGCCATGAGATTGCTGGGGTGCTTCAAAAAATAATGATCTCACTTCTCCTGAGCGTACAAAATGTTGTTGTTAATTTCTTTTTGTTTGTTGAGCTGAGAGCTGAGTTGGGATGAAATGGTGCCCCGGTAGCGTAACTGGTAGCGCACTTGCCCGGAAAGCGAGAGGTGCGGGTTCTAGTCCCGCCTGGGGCGAAAGTTTTGTTCACAACCCAGCATTCTTGTGAAACGTTGTTGTCAATATTATTATTTTTTGGATTGATGACCTTGCCTTGAATGAGAGCTTAACTTTTGATAAATGAATCTGTGGACTTACTCTTAAATTATTGGAATCGATTTGTTCTAGCCATTGATTGTGTGATGTCAAATGTAACGCAAGTGGTTCGTGACGTCCTCAACACCGCTCTACATCTCGTAGCGCAAGGCAAACGGATTAGGCTTGAAGCACGTGACATTGAGAATAGCCTCGACATTCGTGGAACTTTGGTGAGATTTTTGCACTTAATCGTAGTTTTTTGGGCGAAATAAGCTTTAATAGACTCCAAGGTAACTGAACAGTTTTCTTTTCCATTTTTTGAGGAAGTGAATTTTTTTCTAGAGTTGGTGCACCTCTTCTCGTGCTGCATCGAATACACAGTTTCGTCTTTCTGATTCGCTCAGCAAAGCACTTTATCCCAATGACTATTTCATGGTGGACCTTAGAGCAATAATGAACGTAACGCCGCGTCGTATGCCGTTCAAGCGTCGTATACGCAGTAAGCCAAGGAATTATTTTCTGTAAAACTTAGTTTATTTGTGTAGAATCGTTTGCACTAGTCCATCGCCATAACGTGAATCCCTTTTTGATTTCTTTTAATGAAAACTTGTGCCTTTTACAGAACACTGGCTCGTTATTGAAGGAGAACAACCAAGGGTCCCTGAAAATCCTGTTATTACACCTTCCGGCGCAAATTCTGGGCATGAAGGGATTGGGACCTTACAATCACCTTCAAACGACTCGCTTATGGTGAAGTTAAAGTTTTCTCGTTCATAGTTATTCCATTTTCGTTAGTTATCTGTGATAATGTAAAAGTTTCCACAGTTAAATCATCATTTTCACTTAAGGAAGACGGAAATCGTGCGATTAGAGCTGGCAAGTTGGAGCAGGCCCTTTCTCGTCCGATCACTACACATTCATTGTCTTTGGTGAGTGCAGTATGCGATTTGGTCACCTCCATATTTCCACTAACAATTCTTTCAAAAGACCTGAATGAAATCTTTGCCCTTTTGATTACATGAATTTTAGGATCAGCAAGTCTTCTTCAGAAAATGCGTGGAAACTGTCATTGGTCCCTGTCCCGAAAAGAGAAGGGTAAGGCTGCTTGAATCTTTTTTTTGTGTTCTAGTCACATAGTCCTCAAAGCCTGTGCGATTATATAATATAAGAGATGGTTGATTGTTTTTTCGTAGGAAGTTCTTCATCTCCTGGCCTCGGATCCCGGCCTTCAATCGTTAGTTCCCCGTTTCGCAGTGTTAATATTTGAAGGTATGTTGTCGGCTCTGTTATACTCATGGTTTATTGTTTATAAGTTTGTTTGTTTCTATAACTGAATTCTTTTTCACTGTAGAATAACCTAAAGAAGCCAAGTTTGGGGAGTATGGGACAGGAGGACACGAGCTGAGTGGAAGCCCGCTCGGAATGTGCGGGTCACGCCAAAATACGTAAATTTCGAATCTGGTTCCAAAGCAACTTAGGGACAAGGTATGAATGGGTAAAAGCATTGAGCTGTCGGATCAAATTAAGAGATCCGGATCTGATTGGCGGAGCGTCCTGTAAACGAACGGCCCTTAACAAAAAAAAATCATAATTCGATTTTGGGAAAGGTTACGAAGGAGTTGCTATAGAAAAGCAGTACACGTATGTCAACTCCATTGGTGAGGGGGCGTCTACCGAAGTGGGCAGGGTGAAGATTCGAAATCGCAACTTGGTTTGAAGCCCGCCCGAAGAAAAAGTAAACAGAGTCTAGCGAAGGGGGAAGATCAAGTCTTTGGGGCGCATTCTTAGTCCGTCGTCCGATCGTAACGATCGTAGCAGTCGTACAGCATCAGATATGTATCGATCGTCAAATCACAGGATCTGTCCGACGATCGATACGCATCCAATGCTGTGCGAATGTTACGATCGGTCGACCGACCGTGAATGCGCCCTGGTCGGAGTACGGAGGAGGCGGGGGGGGGGAGGGCCAGAATTGTATTATAGTTTCCTTCTTCAATGTTGCTGGATCCACTTGGGATGCAGGTGTGAGTGCGAACCCAACCTACTTTTATGCTTAGATTTTTTGTTCCTTGATTATATAACGGAGGCCTTGCGATTTTTAAATACACATCCCCTTCTCACCTTTCAGATTTTTTGCATACTTAAATGAAAACATGTTCCGTTTGATCGTACGATCCCTCATGCTTTTTATAATTCAGGTGTTACGCTGCAATATAGCAGAACAAAATCTTCCAGTGCTGAGGAATATCCTAAGGCTTCTCAAGACCTTGATCGATAATGTTCAAGTAAATTTGGATAAATGTGTGAGTTGTGCACTTTCCTTGCTTTTCACATCTGCTTGGCGTCCTCAGTGCATTACTGCGGAGGTTTTAAGTGCAGCGATTGGGTCTCTTCTCTTTCTCCTTTTCGCTCGACTGTTCTGAATAAGTTTCATGTCATTCTCTTGAGACTGAACGCTTTCATATGCAAGAATCTCTTTCTGTCCTGCTCTTGAAGAGTTTGGAAACTTGAAATGGGTGGGTCTGTTAGTGATCTTCAATCCGATTGAAAAGAGGAGATTTTCTGGATACCTTGAGAGTCTTCATTTGTCTTCTTTTGATTAAATTTCTTCAAATGCAAGGCTTTCGAATGTCCAAAAGAAAAATGACGCTTTGAAATTGGCCTTTTGCTTCTAAATGTACATGAACATATTCACTTTAGCTGCATGATATTATTCCGGCACTCTGCTCCTGTGTGGTGTGTAAAGAGCTATGTGCAGATCCTGAAGACAGACGACATTTTCGTCTTCGAGAATTTGCCGCTACAATTTTGGCTATGATTTGCAAGTGAGTTTCTGTCGGTTGCCTTGTACCGAGTATGTTTCTGGAATTTCTGTCGGTCAAGGAGAACTCATCTCGCCGACGTACGTGCTCGTATCACCACCCTACTTTGCCGAGTTTTCACCGATTCGCGGGCTAATCTCGCCTCTCTCTATGGTGCACTTTATGCTTTGGCAGAGTTAGGTAGCGAGGTAAGTTGTAACCTTTTTTGTAAGTAATAGGTTTTTGCTTTTGTTAGTTGCACGGAATCGTAGCAATGTACGTTTCAGACTGTAGCTGCCGTAGTTGTTCCACGTTTGGATTTATTGAAGAAGAGGATTTCCAGTCTGAATGAGGGCTTGCCGTCGACCTCTACTGTTGCCAAGAGAGTTATACGGCTCATTGAGGTTGAATCGTTTCGAATTCCAATTAGGTGTTTCCGTTTAAAGGTTGAATTCATTAAATGTAGGCTGCATGTATAAGTAGAACTGTCAAGTTCGAAATTGCTAGTTAAGCTTAGTTAGATGTAAATGTTTCAGACTAATTCATAACATTCTTTCAGAAAATGCTGACACGCTTCGTAAGGCATCGTAAAACACCTGGCTTAAACGAAATGACCGATTTCCAGAAAGTGTTTCCAGGCTTTGGCGAAGCAGTCTACAGGTGCTACTTTTACTCTTAACGTGCCCTTTTTCATTTTTCTTGTCTTTTCTAATAGCGTGTTGGTTCTTCAAAGTCTCTGCACCATCACCTTGTTGTATCTCGCACTTTCGGTATTTGGCTTGAATCTACCGACCAGCGAAGTCTTTTTGCAAGCTTAGAGATGAGTAAGGTTTTCCTCTTCCTCGCCTGATAGGCCGCGTGCCTCGTGGGCTTCACCTTGTCCTGTCTCCTCAGCAGCCCTCTAACGAAAAAGGCCTATCTCTTCTTCTCTTCTCTCTCAAGGCGATTCCTCTTCTTCGAACTATTATGTCATGGTGGCTCCAGGTGAAAAGAATACACCGTCTTTGAGTCGAAAATATTGGCTTGTCTGAAAAGTTTCCGCCGAATTTGACCTCCAATATTTAAAGGCGCATACCTCGGCTCAAACTGAATATATTATTCGAAATAAAAACTGTTACGATCCCTATATCTTCACCCTCAAGAATGGAGTCTAATAGGTCTGGAAAGTGAAAAGGCTGCAGCTCTGGGGGCGAAGAAATCGGCGATGGTTTTTTCACCATCATGCTGGGTTCAACGCTTGATTTTCTTCGAAAAGACTATAAAGTGGCAGTTGGTAGGCAAGTGGTCTACAGTGCAGGATGTTCGCAGCACAGCTTTGTAGCTCAGCTAGTTCAGCTAATATTTGAAGCTAGAAGTGCGAGATGGGGAGGCGCAACTGTGGGGAAAAGAGCCGGCGGCACTCACTTGTCGATTTCCGAACCTTCTTTGCACACCTAGTATATATTCCGGAACCCAAACCCAGCTAAGCCCAATTAGGAAGCAGCCTGTTCAACTCTATGCAGATTTGGTTTGATCAAAACCATGACTTAATCTTTGTCAGTCTCCGATATCCGACCTTCACTCTAATCTCTTTCGAAGCTTTTATCATCGCGAAGAAGACATTTCGAACTGCACAGCGAATTTTTTGTGGATTCATGACCAAATGTTCAGTTGATATCCCGACTTGCTTCAGCACTTTTTCGTCCAAATTTGAGAGGAAACAAGAAACTCGTGTAAAACAGCCTGTTGAGTATGTTGTATTCAAGATTTCAAAAAATGGGAAAAAGTTTTTCGAGCTCAAAATTCCAGTAGATCCAGGTAGAGCGAGAAACGTGCTTCCTTTGTAATATGAAGTGGTAGCTGTTTCTCTGAAGTGACTCGGAAATGAGGCGTTTGAAAGTGAGCGACTAAAAACGGCGCAAACTTTCCGGACAACCCAATATTAAGCTTTCAGGGTCCTGTATGCAGTTCTGCTGTAATATTTCTGTTTCAGGAAACTGAAAGCAGGTGAACAAAGAAGAGGTCGAACCGGGGATATCGCAAACCAGAATGAAGCAGAGACTGGAAAAATGCAGGCTTGTTCCTTCAAACTTTTGAACGCCTATTCATGTCAGAGAACAAAAGTAATTACCACGCTGTTTCTTGCAGAGCTCGGCACAAAAACGATATCCACGTGTGCCACAGCTGCCAATGCGCGCACCTGGAATCATTCGTCCAACTCATGCGTCTGTAACGAAACTTCGAATGTCCAAATACAGTAAACGTCATGAAGCTGGTGGATTGTTTCGACAGTCAACGTCGACACCGAAACCAATGGTGCGTAATGCTTTAGCCACCCATTTGTGAATTCGGTAACCCCTGATAGGTCGCCACGTTTCAAGAATCAATATTTCATTAGAAATGAGTAGTGTGCATAAAAAGTTTTTGATCCTTCAATGTCTGAATTTTTTCTGTCTTACTTCTTTTTTGAGCAAGGGTGGAAATATTAAGTGGATATTCCGCGTGAATAACTGACACCTCATAAGGGAGTTTTAACGGTGTGGAACGCTTTTTCAGAACAGTTTTTTGCGTGTTGCAGGAGCTCTCATGTGCAATACAAAACTGAGGTTTTCCAGCGAAGGTTGCCCGGTCTAGGTAATGAATATGACGCATTCCTTTGGCGCTAGCGCTATTTGGAGTAAATTTGGAAGTCTCACTCCCTATCAAAATACAAAAGTTCTCCTACCACGGCGGTTCGACCTTGACCCATGTTACAAAACAAGTCCGTTATTTTGAGCAATTTTCTCTTTGAAGGGAAGAATAGCATGTGCCTATGTTTTTTTGTTGTTTTGTGTTTTGTTTTTTGCCTGTGACCACCGCGTCGCACCTTGCTGCTTCAAAGAAGTGAGAGAATTGCGAAAGTGACGCGACGGCAAGGAGTGGGAAAATAGCTCGTGTAACGCAGTCACCGGCAACCGAAACTTTACAAGTCGGCTGCCGGTTGTATGATTGCTCTGTTCTCTTTGCGTTAACTCTTTCTTCTTCTGAGTATACCACATTCTCGCTTGCGTAATGTTGAAGTAGCTGAAGATCTGCGATTGAATTCCAATAAGCACAATTTTTGGAATGATGTTTTGCAATGGCATCATTGTGATAACACCCAACAGTATACAAACACCTACTTAGCACACTTCCGATCATTCCACAAGTGCTGCAGTGGCAGCTGGAAAGTTGGAGGGAGGAGGGGAGGAGGAGGGATGCAAAGCGTACGCAAGAAAGGGAGGTTCTGGCGGTAGCCGGGGGTCTAATTTGGAATGAAATAATGGACATTGCTCCTGAGTTCTAGCAGATTTGGAATTCTTCTATAGATTCAGTTCTTTGTACTGTTATGATTTTACATTTGAAATTTTACGTATCAAATTGTCGTTGAGAAGTAATGTGATCAGTTCTCATGTGCATTGTTGAAAGTACTGTATAGTTCTCATTCCAGCAATCCGGCACAGACACTGCTCAACAACTGGGAGTTCCACAGGGTGGTCAACAGCATCAAAGCATTATGTCACAAAATGTAGGTTCAGCTGTGATATTTGTGTATTCCGTTTTCTATTACTACTCTGTTACTAAAATTTCTCATAAAATTAAGGCGCACGTAAAGTTGTTAGTTTTGTGGAGAAAGTCGGCCAATCTCTGAAAGTATTTATTAAAGACATGTTCACGATAGCTGGAGGGCGGTGAGGTTTTGATAACGTCATTGAACGTCTTTAGTGTTGGAGCGTTTTTTGGTACCACATATCACCTAGCGCACTTAGCGAGTTACCCCACCAGGGCGTTCAGCGACGTCACTATTCGCATTACCATCCTGCTATGGTGATCACTGCCTTTATGTAAGACATTTTGTTAATAATGAGATTTTCACATCAGCCATCAACTCGTAACTTCGGTATGTTTACGAGTCTGTTCTTTACGTCTAAACTTGCTTGTTACGCCCTGTGGAGATGGTCGAAGTCAAAATTCCGTTAGTCACGAGTTCAGTTAGTGAGATGAAAGAGGCTAGCCGTTTTATTAGTTGTTGCACGCTAATGGTAGTGGTAAAAGTTGAGTAAATAGCTGCACAAATAGAAAAAAATCTCTAAAAAACAGTATTCATTCAGTGAGTTGATCAGATAAGAATTGGTGAGCTTAAGGTTCTTTTTTACTTCTATGAAGATTTTAATTCAGGTCCGCGGTCCGACTATCCAGGCGCCAGGGCCATTGCCAGCCGTGGTGGTGGAGCCAGCATTCCCACCGCGAAGAGTTCCTACATCGGTGATGGGCGAACAACCAAGAGCACATCCAGCTGTCACGGTGGAACCTGCGTTTCCAAGAAGGCCTCAGGGTCCACGATAAGTGCTATCATAGGATGACTTTTCGTTGAGTTAGTGTAGCCGATTGTATGAGTTCAGTGGACTCTTTACTAGTTATTGGTAGTTCAGTAGCCCAGATTCACGGAATTGCTCCTAGCTTCAGGTCATGTTGGTTAATTGTGTCAGTCTGCGCACATCTGCTCCTCAGATTGTTGACTATTAGTTTCTTTGTTTCGTTTCATGTGCAACTATCGGGTTCTTGCTTGTTACCTCTCTTTCTCTTTTACTGCCTATGGGTGTGTTGCACAAGTTGTAGCGCGGTGTCACACCTAAAGTCCAAATTTTACGTCTAACTCTGGTCGTTGCGACAGGCGTACACTAAAGAGTACAGTGTAGATGTTTTTGTTGGCGGAATATTATTGCGTTGTTGATCCGGTACGCAGGACATACAACAACCGAGTTAAGCGCTAAGACCGCCGTCACACTCGGCGACGGACAAGCGATGGAGCGATCGCGATCGCTCCATCGCTTTTCCGTCGCCGAGTGTGACGGCGGTCTAACATTGGAGTGCGGGGGGCGGCGCAGCGTTTCGACTTTGTGCTACGCACCAGGTGTTTAATATAATATACGTCTGTTCATATCTACGTGGTATATATAATACATTGTAAAAGTAAAGTAAGTTTATAACAATGCCTAAATACAGATATTCTTTGTGTTTTGTTCAATAGCTGATACTGCAAAGACGATATGATCATTTATCGACTCGGCGCACTAACTTCCGCCAATTTGTGTTGTATTTGTTCTTCTATGGACAGTACATAGCAGTCCCGTATTTGTTTGGGTGATCGTGAAAAATTGGCGCTTGCATATAAAGGGCAGTCATCTTTTCGTGAACCTGGTCGTGGATTGATTTCATCGAATTCGTGAATAAGGCTATACGGTGGTGGTAAAAAACTAGAACACGAAGGCAGTAACGGAGGTGGTTCTGCTGACAGGGGCTCTGACATGGCAGTGACATATGATTGTAGTTCAGCAATGGAGTTGATCTTGTGCGAGCTCAAGTGCGCTTGTTCGTCACCTTCAGGAACCAAACTGATGTTCGAGCTGAAAAGAAATTTAATCGGAATAAGTTTTTCCAAAATCAGCTGTTGATGGGCCATGAATATTCGTATTAGGCTCCTTCTTTTTAGCTCGGCTATGGATACGCGACAGGAGGCCCGTC